GCAATCTTCGGATGTTTCGCATGCGATTTGTTCCTGGTGTCAAATGTAAGATGATGCCACAGGATTGGAATACACCAACTCCTAGCTTACAGATAGTTAGTGAAGTAGTTAAAAGTGGAAAGTCAGTCGATGAAGTTGTGAAGCTACATCGATTGAAATGGTTAGGACAGTGTTATGCATGCCTGACCATCACCCTCCTCGAAGGGAAATGTTAGCTGACAAACGATCAGATTGGAAAACAGATACTGATGGTCAAACGAAAACTTGGGACCAATCCCTGAAATCCTTGGCAGTTAGTTTCCTGGTTAGTCAGGGTCCTCAGGATGGTAAGAACTAATGGCTGGAGACAATCGGTGATATGGCTCAAAGTCGTTCTCAGTGGAGCAGGTGCATTCACTCTTTTTTATCTTCCATATCCAGTAATCCCTAATGTTTCTCCATGTTACAACTCTTTCCCCCTCAATTCTCTGCTTATTATAGTCATTTTTAATCCCTTTTTTGTGCCTTTGTATGCGTGTATGTATGTGTGGCAAACCGAACTGCTGCACTTCTGTGCCAAGTTCTATGATGAAACTCAGTCAGTCAGTTAGAGCTGCTGATAAGGAAATAACTGAAAAATAATATATCTTCTGCCCTAACTGGTTGTTTCTGAATGTTTGAAGAGGAATGTTTACGTTAAACAGGCATGATATCGATATATCGTTTGAAAATAGAAGGGAAAATACTAGCCGATTTAAAAAAATACCGCTTAGACGTACAAGGCACATTAAATTACACCAGCTGACTGTGCCCAGTATAATGCTGGGGGATATATCGGTCGGTCGGTCGGTTTTCGACATAGAACTTTGCACATATGTGCGGAAGTTCAAGTCGCCACAATCCATGTAGCACGCAAAGCAAGAGAAGAAAGCAGAAGAAATGTATAATATAGACAGTAAACAGAGGTGTGAGACAAAGGAATAGTAATAACCAAGAACAAAACAGTTTCATTGGAAATCATAAGTCACAAGGAGTGGATGCATCTGCGCCACTGAGAACGATTTTGAGCCATGTCACCAATTGTTTCCAACCATTGGTTTTTACCATCCCGAGGGCCCCAACCAGGAAGTCTACATCTTCCTACGTGGCTTAGACTAACTGTTGTGGATTTCATTGACTGGTACCATGTTTTCGTTTGACCGCCGCTAGCTCTTTTCCAGCCTGGCCCTATATCAGCTAACATTGCCCGTCGAGGAAGGCGATGACTAGGCATACGTAACACATGTCCTAACCATCTCAGTCGATGTAATTTCACAGTCTCGTCGACTGATTTCCCCTACTTACCTAGCACTCGACGCCTAACCTCAATATTGCGCACCTTATCATACCACTTCACGCGGGAGATAGAACGCAGACACCTATGATCGAAGACAGCTAATCTTTTCATGTCTTCTGCTCTCAATGGCCAGGTCTCACAGCCATAAAGGAGGACGGAGCGGACTGTTGAGCAGTACACACGCCCTTTGGTCGATAGTCGGATATCACTTCTACGCCAGAGACGGCGTAAACTGGCGTATGCGAACCTAGCCCTCTGTATTCGTGCTGAAATTTCGTCGGAGATCAACCCGTTGGGGCTGATGGTACTTCCCAAGTAATTGAAGCGGTCAACGTGTTCTACCACTTCACTTCCTATTTCTAATCTAGGGGTCGATGAAGTCCAATCCTGCAGCATCATCTTACATTTTACAGGGGCGAATCGCATGCCAAACATACGAAGATTGTTGCACAGGGTGTTCAGTAGACTCTGCATTTTGTCAGAGGGGGGATATATAAATGCACAACATTAAAGACGAACGAAAACAGAAATACGATTACACCTTTAAGTACTTGTATGACCCAACGACAAGCAATGAAACTGAAAATAACGTTTCAAACCACCAATTAAGGAAATGTGTTCAGTAAACTTGAATTGTCGATCATTTGAGACCTACCCCCCCCACCCCACAATCAATCATGCCAGCACAGAGATATCACAGATATGCCACACTCTGTTTCATAACGAATGACAACTAACTTAACATTAGTACTTTAGTAAGTTAAAATGTCACAGCTTAAGAACAAAACATCCCATCACACTAATAAGCTACGAATACCAACAGTGAATGGAAAACTTCGCTTAATCGTGCTAAAATAAGGTTAAACTTGAAATAAGACAATTGTAAGCGTTGGTCGAATGTGATATGGGCTAATGTAACGGGGACAAATTAATTCATTTCATTATAAAATAAAACCTCACCGTGAAAGGTACCATCACTGCAATAAACTTTTGATATTAGTCCGTGTATTACGCAATGAAGTAATATAATTTACTGTGAATAATAAAAATAATAATAAAGAATTACGTAATAATGCGGTGGTTAATTTCCAGCATATTTCATGAATCTACTTACCTTGATTAAAAACTTTTGACGAGCTAATGCCATTCGAAGTATCATTGACTGTGCACGATTTTTGTACTCATCGACAAGACGTATAGCTCGAGCAAACGTCAAACAACGTTGATCCACGTCTAATACACGGAGAAGCTGTAATATTAGTCAGAAAACCAACAAACAGTTAGAATCACTGCAAAATCACATATATATACACCAAACAAAGTGAAAAATAACACCCGACAGACTGGAAAGAATCCGGTGTTTAGTAAAATCTCGAAAACTTCTTTCTACAAGAATCAGACCAACAGTAAGATGTTTCATTTTTCGGTGGTATATATATTGATTGAAACGTTTTTCAAAACTTAATCTGCGCTCAAACTCGTAAAAGAAAGTATTATTTTGGTACATGTAGCTCATGTCCTAGTCAACAAGAGCTGACAAAAAAATTCCCGCCTTACTTGAATTCCTGACTACCTAATATTTTAGGCTTAGCAACACATCAACAATAATCATCATCATATGGGTCAATGCTAGAAAGTCATCTAAGGTCAAAAAAACACACAACATTCTTAAGCCTTCCACCGTTAACAGATATAACTCGCAGCAGAAGTGTAGGACAAATAGGACAAGAAAGTTTTCACATGTTGTATGTACCCCTTTTTATAGGTGCTATACTCATTTCTAGTGCGTCGGTGGCATAACGGTTAGGACGCTCGCCAACCATGCATATGGTCCGGGGTTCGATACCCGGCCGACGCACTCCTTTACCTCGCTAAGTCAGAAATAAAGCTGGCAAAGAGGAAAGGTTGGGCATGAGGCTAGCAACCTCTCCCTGTAAAAATAAACACTGCTACAGAAACTTCAAGCCTCTAGCTTGAAGCCCTATGTTCCACTGGGAACGTGAAGGAATAAAAATATGCATATATACTACTGATTGATTGAAATGAGCAGCTGAATACCGCTTACATCAACCAGTACCACTTGCTATCAAGAACGAAGTGAGCTAAACATCGAACAGCCGATTCGTTTGTTTGAGGTCGAGCTCGACAGCGATGAACCCGGCTTCACTCAGTTTAAGGAGCCGAATCAGTTCAAACCACTCGATTCCTGGTTGGCTACTTCGGTGAACTAGTAACTCCATACATTAAATTCCCGAATTATGAATTAATTCGTGATTTTCACAGTTCCCTTGGTAAACCAAAATTATTCACATCATATAACATGTGATCTACTTGTGTTTTCTTGATATCAAGAAGATCATTTATTGTGATCCGCATAATCTTGGTTCCCTACGGAAGTTGTGGTGAAATTTCACCTCTTCGAACTGTGTACGCTGCAAATTATTTTGCAAATGGAGAATTTAATTTATGGAAATGTGTACAATCAGTCGATTGCATCCAATGTAGATAATTTTAGCCTTAAAATGGAATTTAATTGAATTTTAGATTTTTCCCGTCGATTGATTGGACCGAACTGCTCGGTCCATCCAGCTGACGAGTCCCAAATAGGACGAATGCGCATCCTGGATTCTACTGCTAGTCACCATCCACCAATTAAATACTAATCAAATGCCCAGACATCGTCGAAGCATCTGCTCAAGAAGCCGACATGTCAACCTGAGACCGAGCACTTCGGTCCAATCAATCGACGGGAAAAATCTAAAATTCAATTAAATCAATATGACCCGTTGCACAAGAGGTGGCTCTCGTGGCACAAGTGGTCTAGTGGATAACACTTTGGCGTTGGAAACTATGGGCACTGGGTTCGAGCCTCGGTGGGAACATCATCACTCACTGAGAAGTGCAGGTACATCCAGATGACGAGTCCCAAATAGGACGAAATGCGCATCCTGGATTCCACTGCTAGTCACCATCCACCAATTAAAATGGAATTCACTGGTAGAAGTAATTTAATATATATAAACTAATAACTTAAGATAACCTTATATTCCTTAGGTTTCACTATAACCTTCTTATAACAATCCTCATTGTAGGACCGATTCATGATGATAAACAAAATGTATGCTAAAATCGTATTATAACTTGTTTTATTAAATGTTATAGGTTGTACACAGCTGACGAGAACCGGCAAAGTAGAATGGATTCATATTGCCCTTCACCAATATCAGTTGTATCTCTGTTCAAATTTATAAAAAGGGGAATTCGTGTACGATATTGTTTATTGGTTGACTATCTTACATTGGAATGCAGATAAGACACTCCCCCGGTGGCCAGAGTAAATCACTGGGCTACCAGAATTTCTATTCACGAAAAGTGCTTAAACTCTTATGCATTTCTTTTGTGTTATTTGTGCAGTTATATCAAATGACCACTAAATGAACTGGCGCGCATGTTAAATCAGCTTTCAACTAGACGCTGTGTAATTCTTCAAGGAAATGGGGGGGGGGAATGTACAGCTGTACATCAAATTATTACTTTACATGGAAATCCTGTATGAAGGGAATATATTATTATTTATTTTTTTTATTTTATTTTGATTACAGCTTGATGCCACATCGTATTTTCAGTACAAGTATGGAATTTTCAGCATGGGTTCCAGACCGACCATAGATATCGGCTGTGCGTTGACAGGGGATCGAACCCCGGACCATGTGCATGGTTGACGAGAGTCTTAACTACTGTGCCACCGACGCACATTATATTATATTATTGTCTGAAATAAAACTTCACTAATTATTATAGAACCCAAAGTATAAGCGCCTATGCTACACACATATACATATACACAAATAAGAAACAAATAATCACAAATATTTACCTGTTTATGTGAATCAATACGAGCCTTAATACTGCCATCTTGTATAAGTACAGCAAGTTCATTTTCTAAACCGGCCACATTTGTATCAAATGCTTTAGCCATATGATTTAAATCAGCGGAAGAATATGGACTGAAGTACTAAACAGTTAACATATAAGAAAAACCGATGAGAAAATGAAGAACTAAAAGTTTCAACATAGACATTGACTTAGCTAGGCATTTGTGAACAGATAACAAAGGAGTGAGAAAGTTCCTGAATTATTTTCAGTTAAATAATCATAGGAATAATGACAATTTTCCTGAGAAAACAAACCGGTTATAATGACCACGTCAAAGACAAAGATCGAATATACTTCTTTTGGATCAGTAATGCTTCAGGTATGCTCAGAAGTCTTGATCCCAATTCCTCCGAAAGGTTTCATCTGGCCATGTATAATACTTTGAAGGATTTCTCGGAAGCAACTGACTATCACGAGTTCGGCAGATGTTGTTATCAAACTAAAGGAACACTTATGTTCTCCCTTCGCTAGCCAAACTGGATAGGATTCAAGGAAGCATTTTACAAGCTGACGCGCATAATACGAATAATGTACTCCACAGAAGCAAGTCGATTGACATATACATTTTGATGCCACCCGAAACGACAGCTTGTCCTTTACGTGTTGGCCAAATAATTTTTTTCCAAGAAAATATTATTCGGAGACTGACAGTAAGGTATATTTTACTGAGAAATTTTGAAAGCCGTTTTTGGAGAACTTCTACCTCCAGATCACTTTCAAAATCGACATTCAGCAGCGACATCTTTTGAGGCCACCGCTTTAGCCACGTTTTCGAGTTTCAGGTTATCCCTACAAATCTAAGCTGGGGGCCATTTTCCACAAGGACTGATTAGAGATTGTGTGATTCTTCTTCTAAGAGAATTGCTTCGAGAAATATGAATATCCAAAGTTCGAATCTCAGACAAAAGCATACATCTCCCAACTGGCATACGCTGAAATGCAGTTCGTTTTCGATTGCCTGAACTTGAACAGAATATTTCACGAAAGTCTTACGTCCTATCTACTGAATAAGGAACGCTATTCGAGAACTACATTTCTACGGTCACTAAGAGGAGAATTGCTGATGTGGTTCTAAAATTAAGTAATCACAGGAGTATCCTTTACTTTTTGTCCCAATAAGACAAAATGAATGCCCCAATGGTTTCAATGCTTATACCAGTGACCTGCATATTTATATATTTTCAAAACATTGCACGTTTGCAGGAAAATTAATTATTATAATATTATTATTGATTCCTTTAATTCCTAGAGGAACATAGGGCTTCAGCCGTGCGTCTCCATTGCGTTCGGTTCTCTGCTAGAGTTTTCACCTGGCTCCAAGTCTGCCCACACGTTTTCATCTCCTCTTCACATGACCTCCTACAAGTTACCCTTGAACAGACGACCAACTCGCCGCTTCCCTTTCGGGTTCCACTCGAGCAATGGCTTGTCTAGTGATATCACTTGATGGTTTCCTCCATTTCTTCCTGCCTATTTGTTTCACAATCGGTTCCTGCTTGGTTGGTTCGCTCATTGTCAGAGATCTCTGTTGCTGATCTTTTCTGGCCGGCCATCTGATCTTGAGTATTGGGCGAAGACAACTGTTAATGAAGGTCTGTAGTTTGTTTGAGATGCTCTTCATGACGCACAGTGCGAGTCTCTGATCCGTATAGTAGCACTGACTTCACATTGGAGTTGAAAATCCGGATCTTATTTTGATGCTGAGTGCTGTTAACCTCCACACGGACTTGAGAGTAGCGAAAGCTTGTCTTGCTTTTCCGATTCTTGCTTTGATATCCTCGTCAGTTCCGCCTGTAGTTGAAACTATGCTTCCCAGGTAGGTAAAAGAGGTTGTTTCTTTCAGGTTCCTCCCATTTATGCTGATTGTTGTCTGTTGTTGTTGTTGCTGCTGTTGGTGTGAGTTAAAAAATAAGTGATAGTGTTCAATGATTTTAGATCGTGATTACCAGTAAATTAATAGTATCTTTATGCATTAGAAAAGGATCAAGATATTTCTTTAATGAAGATAACTGATATACAAACTCACTGAAATAGGCGTTGATATTATAAGTAATGACAGTCATGAACCATCAAGGCAGTATTAAACGACGACATGAGGATTGGGACAGTTATATACCAATTACCTACTTAAGGCACTCGTTTGTATGAGATGTTTTCAAATATGGTTCAGCACAGAAACCCATGCTGAATATTCTGCAGTCTTCTTAATTCTTCTCTTTCTGAATCTAATATGAATTGATGATTCGTCGTAAAAATGTTCTTGATAAGTAAGTATGCTAACCAGTTTTTTTCCTTCATTATTTTGTTACTCAGCTATTTCACTTCTTCTTTCTTAAAACCAAGGTTGTATTATTGTATTGCATTATTATTTTGTATCGAGCATTGCTTGGTGCTCGTACCGTACGGAACTCGTTTTAGAAATGCATAGGCAAATTACTACGTCGACTAACAATGAAATGTCTGTGAACTGAAACACTAAGTCAAAAGCGAATTCAAACTGTACAGTAAACTGTTTGAACTAAGTTCCCGGGCTATGAGTCTCCCACTTATTGTGTGAGGGCTATTGATGCTACCCAATTACCCATACTGAAGTAAATGGGGCTGGATTCAAACCCTGGACTGCCAATGAGCCAAGTTCTCCAAAGTACAATGAAAAAAATACAATTCCTTATCACACAACTTCTACATTGAATAAAACAAACAGAATTAATACTAATTTCGTCAGCATCAGAATAAAATGACATAAACGTAAGTGAAATGCGGAACTAACCTGACAAAGGGCACGTGATCGAATCTCTTTGCATAGTGTAGTTACATGATCAGATAAAAATATATCCAGTTTTAAAAAATTGCGTAATTTATTTAACCGACCTAAACATGCTGCATAGTCAGCTTGATGAAATGATTGCAGCATATCACGACAAGCAGGTTCAGCTTCTAAGAGTAAGCGTAAAGATGTACTTCCAAGAACCAATGTTGCTAGTTCTGTACGCTCAAAAGTAGCTAAACTGCATAGTGTTATGAAAAATGCTAAATCTGATACAGTTACAATTCGACTTATAGGTGATTCACAATGATCAGGATTAACCTAGAGAAGAAGAACAAGAAAGAAGTAATACTTATTCAATATTGAAAAAAAAAACATTTGAAAGGGAAAAACATACAGGTTTTGAGGATCAAAATCATAATTGATCAATTCTTATCCCTCCAATGAGACTCTATTATACACTTCTTTTTAAATAACAGAATGTCCATGATATTGAAGGTGCACAGTTTGAACCAAGAAGATAAGGCTACTTTATGAAACTATCTAGATATTATTATTTCACGTGATATGGCGAATCAACTTAAGCTATCTAATTTCACTCAATGGGTTCCGGGTTCGACTCTCGTCCCACCTACTTCCGCCGGGACAACTGAATTGTATCATTATCCCCACACGAAAAGTCTGGCTTATGTTCCAGTACTGCGTAACTGAAATAAAACTAACTAACATTTCCCGTGACAATAAAACACTTAAATTTTTTACTAAGCTACTGATGAAGTGTAGCCCGGCAGTGTGAGTGTCCTACTCAACGTTACCGTGGTTTTTCTGATATTATATATATATATATATATATATATATGCATTCAAGGCAACAGACAGAAGTCAGTAACTCTCAGAACTTTTAATACCAAAAAATGATTTCTTGCATTTTAAACTCAACAAAAACTTATAATAAACTATTATCATGATATAGCATCGATTCTAATTTGCTTAGACATATAAAACTTATTTGGTGCATAGCTTTGAGTTAGACCATTACGGTTTAAGCCGGACATTGTTCGTAATTTATTTGGACAGCAATTCCTTCGTCAAAAGAAGAATTCCACATTGGTTAAAGCACACTTATCTTACTAAAGTTTACACACTAAACACAAATTCTCCTAAGCTTTCTATACAAACGAATGAAATTCTATTCCTCTCAACAGATCATTAGAATAAATTCAAACTACATTTTAGTTATACAATCAAAAATAAGTCTGTTGTTATTTTCCAGATTATAAAAAACACAATAATGTTAATTTTAAATAGTGGATGCTTGTTCTACTACTTTCTTCTAGACAAAAACTGATTAACAGACTAGTAGGCGTACACAAAATAAGATTAGCTTACTTGAAGGAAATGCATAACAGCACCTCTATAATTACGAGAAGCCAATTCAACTAATCCAGCTGCGATAGCTAACTGAGTCCGGGCTTGGGCTAAAGCATCACGATAACTTTGTCCACCAGATATAGGCGTTTGCCCTAGGTGGCCGTCACTGGGTTGTCGCGATAAAACTCGACCCGTAGGATCCAAAAGACTAGAAGAACCACCACGTCCCATGGATTCGCCTAGTCTCATTGAACCTGATGTTCCGGAGGCTGTTGTTCTTGTACCCAGCCGAGATGTTGTGTCGGTACGATTCCGTTGCTGAGCGTTTAATTCAGGTGCATTTGCACCTGTCATTGAATTTGTATCACGTAATTCAGATAAACTGTTGGCCCGGGTAACATGTGCGCTTACATGAGACCAAGCACGCTGAAATATAGCTACCTGTAACATAGGAAAGAAAACATTACATTTGTATTCCATGGAAATTCTCTTAAACCCTTAAATGGACACCGAGCTGATGTCTACTCTCAGCATCCCACCACCCAATGTTTTGAAACCTACCATAAGGTCCCCCCACCCATAACAGTTACCGCATCAACATGCTCGGGCATAATGAGATTTCCATCATCTCCCAGTTAAAAAGATGTTTTCAAAATCTGTTATCATGTGCTAACAGTGAAAGGCACATAAATCCAATAAGAATATTGCCGCAGCTACACAGAGGTTACTGTACATATTACTTGAGAATGACGGCTCCTATCAGTTATAAAGCCAGTCTCATATCCAAAATAAATTTAGCTGTATCCCTGGAGGATTTAAGACAGTATAACTGTGAGTGAACATTAACATGTATTTTAAGCAGTCCAAACAGCTACTGTAATATACCTCTCAATATTGAATAAAATCTATTCCATAGTACCTTTAGTGATATCTGCAAATAAACCAACCAGCTCTGAGAACACTACTAATGTTGCATATCAGTCCTTTCTCAATAATACAAACAATGTTAACTTTTATGATGCCTGTTTATTTATGACATTTAAAACACAAACTTGGTACAATATGGGTACGATTTAAAGAAAATAGTGAGAGAATGAATCATGGATATCATCCAGAAAGCAAGCAAGCAAGTATACTTGTCAGGATCATTCATCACTTCATGTTACTTTCGGAAAGAGATGAAAGGAAGAAATTGCAGGATGTTCACCAGTGATTGCGATTCTTGGCCACACCTGATATCGCTGCGAGCCACCATATCGAACTATCGGACCCAAACTGGGCAGTCGCCATTTACCTACGGATGCCAACCTAACACAAAGAGATCCTTCAACCCACAAGGCCATAGCATATGCTGACCATTGTTTCGCTTTTTCCATCCAGTCCCGAAGCCAGAGAACAGATACCGACCGGTATGGAAAATAAGCTCACTATAGATCTGCACAAAAGACCCAAGTATACCGAGTATCTTGTTAAATGGGAAAGTATCTCATATACGCTTATCTGAAAACACTGTGGTATTGACGAGTGGGCCAACTTGTGTCAATATCACAACATTCTGCTGTTGCATAAATTCACTTCTTGAATCCATCTGTTAAAGTAGGATATTAATGAGAAGTGTATCAACAACTTAAAAATCTTATCTGAACCATTTATGGTAATGTTTGGACATATAACGACTACTGTAATTAAACAGGATTGTGTAAATTCTCCGTGCCGATTTAAATTGAAGATATACATCTTGTAAACAGCTACAAAGGTAAATTCGACCCGGTCCTCCTGTGTTTTACCGAATTCACGTTTAGCGACCAATGTCCTTATGTATGAAATGTCCCTTCTATAATCGAAGTGTCTTCGCTTACACTCACTCTCAAGAATAAACACCACTACAATTACTAGAAAAGTGCGCGCATAGAAGATAAAATCCATGAAATTTCTAATCGCATACATAAATCAAAGTCAACATACGCCAATTGGGGCCAAAATCTATGGGCGCCATAATGTTAGTGCTTAGAATTCTTCAGTGTGTGCACTTCTCCCTTACGCTTCGGAACCCTAGCGTTTTTGAATTGCATACACTTTGATACTCTTCGTTGATAGTAGGAATGGGATTCCAAGGCTCAGTGGTACGTACGTATTCGGAAAAGACAAAGATAATCTTTCAATGAGTGATGTCACCTTAGAACACTAGCTTAGATCGCTTGGACATGCATTATGAATATCCTCTCAGTAGCTCCCACGCAGTTTTACCGCTTCAAAGCTCTGGCAATGGTTGCAATAAATAGGTAGGTTGTCAGCTTACAACGTGGAGGTGAAGGAATCTATTAAGTATGGCTCGGAATCCAAATCAAACTGCAGCTTGCTTATTCCTTTTACTATCAGGAGGAATGAAAAGTGACAGATGCTCTGCCCAGTGAACTTAGTGGAAGTGTTTCCCTGTTTATTAAGTTGCGCTTGCTCCTCTTTTTTATGCTGGTGGTATACTACTTCTGGATACATATGCTATATCAAGTTTGTGCTAAGTCAGCCTTTACAGTAAACAAACTAAAGTAAAAGCATAGATTATGTAAAATTTTGGTAAGCTTTGTTCCAGTAATGCCCAAGTAATATTGTTAATATGGCGGTTACAGATGATGATGATAGCTTAGGAAAGTCAAATTACATACACTAAGTAGTACTGACTACAAACATACAATGCATGATATAAGGAGCATTTACATTGATTCGACAAAAAAGGAGTTTCACCAGTTGTCTATTACAAAAAAAAACATTTCCAACCCCAGAAACCTGACTTGAAGAATTCCATTTATACTTCTAGCACAATTACCCATCACCAACTCACATACAAAGCACATAAGCCCCTAGAACACAGCCCCTCCACCCCACCCCCCAGTTTTAACTTCACAAGAACATTGTTGTTCAAGAACAGTGGACTTAATTTACTACAAAAGTATCGTACATTGTTAACTCATTAAAAGTCTAGTTCAAAATTTGGGATGTCAACAAAATATTCGTAAATTTGTGAATACTACAGGAAAAACAACATACCTTGATAACATTCAAACACATGGTTAACTCTTGGTGTTGAGATGTACAATAATCTCGGGAACGAGTAAAGCACTTGTTCGCATTGCTTAATTGACCTAACTGTAAATATAAATCCCCAAGATCATCTGACCCACGACTGTTGTGAATGAATAACAAAAACAAACAAATATGAATATGTGAAAGGGCGATTTCAAATGATCCAAGTGAAAGGATTTTGAGACACAAAGTAACATAGGTGATGCATTAGCCAATAAATCCTACTTGAAACCTAATCAATTTAAAATGTAACTTATACTGACTAACTGACTGGTTTCAACGTAGAATTTTGCACCAATGTGCAGCAGTTCGCGTTGCCACACTCCATGTAGCACACAAAGAGAGAAGAGAGTAAAGGGAGGTTCAAAAGACAGACAATAAACAGAAATATGAAGCAAAAAGAATAGTAATATGGAAGAACTGTATAGTTTTATTGGATATGACACATCACAAAGAGTGAATGCATCTGCACAAGCCATTGAGAACGATTTTGAGCCATATCACCGATTGTCTACAGCCTTCATTGGTTTTCACCATCCCGAGGAACCCAAACAGGAAGCCAATCTACACCTCCTTACGTCGCTGGCTTAAACTAACTGTCATGGATTTATTTCATTGACTGATGAAGTCATGTTTTGGTTTGACCACCAATGGCTCTTTTCCAACCTGCTCCCATGTCAGTCAGCTAACATTGCCCGTTGTCGAGGAAGGTAATAGCTAGGCATACGTAACACATGTCCTAACCATCTCAGTCGATGTAGCTCCACCGCCTCGTCTATTGATTTCGCCTCCTTACCTCGCACTCAACCGAAGCCTAACCTCAATATTGCTCACCCTACTACACCTACCACCTAACACACGGAAGATATAATGCAGACAGCTATGATCAAAGACAGCTAGTCTTTCCATGTCTTCCACTCTCAATGTTCAGGTCTCACAGCCATAAAAGAGGATGGAGAGGACTTCTGAGCAGTACACACGTCCTTTGGTACACAGCCGGATATCACGTCCGCGCCAGAGACGGCGTAAACTGGCATATGAGAAACGAGCCTTCTGTATCCGTGCTGAGATTTCGTCAGCGATCAACCCATCGGGTCTGATGCAACTTCCAAAATAAGCGAAATGGTCAACAGTCTCTACCACTTCACACCCTATCTCTCAGCTAGGAGTCAATGTAGTCCAATCCTGTAGCATCATCTTACATTTGGAGGGAGCAAAATGCATGCCATACATTCTTAGATTGCGGCTCAAGGTGTTACTCATACAAATAATTCCATAACGCTTATCCAGATTTATGAATGAAAATTCCATCCAAATAATAATTCATATGAAATTATTTGCTGAGTGGCCACGTACTAACTTCAGTAAAATCAATGTTACAGTGTTTAGCAACAACTTAACATATAGCAAATGACTCACCTATACCAAATGTGAAATTCTACTGTCATTTTATGACGAAAGTCTTTATATCATAACTGGTTGTGAATTCAGTCAATACTATGGCCGTAAGGCCAGTGTTTAGTGTCAAATCTTTTATTCGTATATGATCTAAAGATAAGTTAATTAAAGCTGAGTATAAGTGTAACTAAGCTGAATTATACATAAAAGATTTCTATTCCTCACAACTCTAAGGTATTAAAACAGACTATGAGTAGAGAAGAGATGAAAAATGACATATGATGGTGGCATTCTGTACACATGAACACAAAACGTTGTGCTAGAAAGATAGCATATCTTTGAACTTCGTGGTTGGTGTAATTCAACCTTAGTAGAATAATCGCGAATGTGAAACATAGCCTTATATTTATGTTTGCATAAAGAAAAGTATAAACTGTCACAACCGATTTCCAGTTATCAAGAGCCTTCAGTATGTGGCATATCTCAATCTGACAACTCTACATTCTTAACGAAATTCAATTCGAAAGTTACTAAACCTGTGAACAATTGCACTGTCACAAAACTTTCGAATACAACTTCACAACAGTTAATTGTTGTAGAAATGAGAAATAATAAAATTTTGAAAGGATCCCTACCCCAGGTAATCATTTGTCCAGTATATTAAGATATGGTGGGAAAATTGTTGTAACACATGGCAATTCAAGTTATGCATAAATGAATATGAGTGAGTTTTTAATACTGTAGTTAAAAAATAATAATAGTAATAATAGAGAAAAGCGTGTAATAGTATATAACTGCGCGGGTAAAACTACTTAATACAATTAGTTAAAGCTGCTACCATCAAAATACCGTATGCTCTCTTTAATCGAATTTGCTTTATGATTTTTCAGCTCTGTATCTAGTTGTTCCAAAAGCATGACTCCTTTCCGTCGCGTTGATTCCTCCCACTTCGCATCATACACCAGATTAGCTTCATTCTGTAAGAAAAACATCAGATACCAAAGTAAACTTTAGTGAGGTGGAATTAAAACAGGAGACGATGGGACATAAGAGAAATAATTATACGCAGGTTGACCAAAGAGGCTCGTAACTATGATGATAAGAAGTAGAAATATGCATACAATACATCCACCAATCTAGGACCATTTTACCGATAATTTTAAAACATATCCAGTTCCAACAAAATAACCAAATACTAATATGACTTACTTTACCAGACATTACTTCAGTCAAAGCATTCCTGGCAGCTTCTGTTAGAGAGGATCCTAGTACTGCTGATTCTCCTGAACTAGACAAGCCATCTGTGATATGATTGTTTGTGACAGCGCGCATTGCAGGAACAGCTTGTTGTCTAGATGTTTCACCGGATGCTGATGAATTAATGGTAAGATTTGTCTGGAAAATAATGTAAAGAAACATTCACAAGACGGTGTGAACCAACGCTTGACTAAACATTTCTGGTGTGTTACTACTACGCAAAAATAGATACATTAAATGCAAGTCTCAAAAAGAGTACATGATCAAGAGTCTTTCAAAAATGTGGTTAGGCATACAATAATGAGAAAACTTCTTTGTAATGCTGTTAAATACTGCATTACAATGACTTTATAAACTGATGATAACTCTGTGTCCCTGACAAAAGGAGTACGTATTGGTTGGGATGAAGAACACAGTATGATAGTAAAGCCTGTGTAAATGATAAAGTGTGTATCACGTGCAGGTTTTACGCTGATCATAGTATAATACATTTAAATAAGGACTCAAAAGGTTGTTAGATGTGAAAATGGATATAGTTATTTGAACCCAGGAATACACACATGTGAAATAGCTAACGGCTAACTGAGATTGACATGATAGGAGTCATAAGCTGCTGTTTAAACCGCCATACCGGAGACCTGTTTCAAGTTACAGGCATTCAGTAAATTAGAACTCAGGCACTCTGAGCAGATTTTTCACATATCAAACTGAGTGCCGATGATACCAACTGGTGAGTCAAGATGAAATGTGTAGAGCAGGATTCAAACGAAGGACGTATCAGGTGCACCTACATATGCAGAACACTAACAATGTGCTTAACAGATCGAAACACAAATAATTCCCAAATGACTTTTAAGTAGCTCATAACTTTAGGTGAATATAACTGCTTATAAAATGAACTGCTACTAGCAGAGACATAGTATGCTTTTTAAAAATTAGCAGGACGCATGAGCTTTGATCTAAAGTACAAACTTTAACTGCAGTAAAAAAACTACCAGTGATTTACAGTACTTTCCACTTATATATAGAGTAGTGCTCAGGCATTGATTGCTATCAGAATACATATGGTTGATTAATAAAACTCTTCTCCAAACATGAGTGTCAGCATTTTCAGTGAACTAGTCCATTAATCATGTACTGACCCAGTGAAAACACCTACGAAAATTTTATATTAACGTTTGAAAACGTTAAATTTCACTTAACAACATTGGTTGAAGTCCTTCATTGATTCAGCATTATTATTAGTCGAAAACAAAAATTACCATGAAGCAATAGTCTGTGGAATCCACTTATAAAGAAAGTGATACTTTTAAGTCAAGGTATCATAAAACTCGAATCTGACGTAAAACTGATATCATAATGAGTATGAGAATCACTTATCGTAATGTATGTTTCAAAAAAATTTAGTTCCATATGATGCACAAAATCTATGGGTATAAGGAGACATTCGTTCTACCTCTTTATATGTACTGTGGTAGCAGAAATGTGTATAATCAAACACATTCCGACGACCATCTTTTTTCCTTATATTACTTCTAGAAGTAGGAGGGAACTGCAGAATTTTTACCATTGGTTTCGACTCCGCCTCGAGCTACTTAATGGAGTAACCACTCGAGAATCAACCAGGGATACATTTAAGAATTCAAACTAATGATAAGGGTGAGTGAAGTGTGATGTATTAAATTCAAGGTACACTCTCAAAAATGAAGTTGGTGGTAGTAAACTACGGACAAAACTTTCCATCGAGCTATCATTACTAAACTACGTACAAAACGGGCATTCTGTTCGTACTGCACAAGATGTGTTACCAGCTGGCTGAAGCTAAGCCATGCATCTTTGCACATTCATATGAATTTGAAAACTGACGACCTACACATTTCCTTCAACGATCCTGAATACTTGACTCTATAACAGCTAAAATAGACCAGTTAAATTGGAGAATCGCTTTCTACAAGCTAAGTGCTGGCGTATCTACTAGGGAAATGTTATTTTACTATGTGAATATAGAATAGGTTACTATTGACCAAACTAACCTACAAAAGGCAAATACGGTGACTACGAACGACCTAAGTCATATGGTATATACCCCAAAAATAGACTTCAGGGACATTATGCTGTTTCAGCCATACTGTCTTAGTTTATTCTGTTTAGTTATGAAGCAAAACATCAATAGACTGAAAGCCAACTACTCACCTGTTCAGCCAACATTAGGAAGACTCGATTGTACGCCGATGTGTCTAGCGTAGACTTTTTAATATAGTCATGAGCCAGACGCAGCGCCGTAACTCGAAGTGAGGGGCAGCGCTGAGCTATAAAAAATAGACGCTGATAATGTATATATCCCTGATAATTTGCAATATAGGTGGCAAGATCCTAATAGATTTGCAGTTACTCATAATTCAAAGACTAACTATTGGTATTTCATCATCAACAGTTTCGTACTCCATTGACGTATTCGAGGAAGACGGTACATCTTCAAAAAGAGCAGGGTCCAAGTGCAGCATGTCTATACCAATTTATTCAGCGCCAAAGTACTGTAACGTCTCAAAACTACCGCACCAACGAGACTTTCTATGTTGGACAATCAGATTGGATATGACTTAATCTAAAGGTTATTTTACCTCCTTAGGCACAATTTATCCCAAGAACAACATTGAGCCCAAATAAACTAGGAGCACCAATGACTTTCGATGACCAACCAGCAAGTTAGTAAAACCAGGGAAATAACATTATAATCGTGAATCAAATATGCTTGTTGAAGTGTTGTGATATTAAACGGAACATCTGGTAAGTTTCAGATTATGTTTGGGAAGGATTAAGCCCATTCTAGGCTAGGGGCAGTTTAAGGACAGGCTAACCCAGTTAGTAGTGACTTTGCACGCACTGCAAAATCTTCGGGGCAGACTTCGGAAGCAGTGCAGAAACTTAGAGGCAGACTACAGACAACTGTCTTACGTTTTGTGACGCATCCGTAGCTGTCTGCCCTGAAGATTCTGTAGTGCACCAGGAGAAAACACTAGCTACGAACCTAATAAGGAAGACACTAGTGTTGGTCCGAGTCTGACCAGGGTGGATTTAGGGATTCCGATGAGTGTGCTTCAGTTACCCGCATGAATATAAGTATTTCATGTGTAGCAGCCTCCTTTTTTATATAACTGGTTCCCCAAAGGTCATCTGTATGTCGCTACACTTCGGTGCTCAAGGCCTAACTTCGCCCAAAACTATTTATCACCTAGTACCAGTTTAAATTTAAATACTACATTTTTCTTCAGAATGAAATGATAAGAAAATGACATTTTTCTTCGTAACAAAGTATCGAGTCGAGTAAGCGTGTTCATTCGTAGTTTGACTGCCTTCATCTGGAAAGGCAAACTTAGGGTTGCTAGCCTCGCCGCCAACCTCACCACTATTCTAACCTTAATACTGGCTAGCAGTCTATGCAAGGTTAGGACAGCATCAGACAGGAATCAAATCTGGACCACGTGCATGGATAACGAGCATTCTACCATTGAACTACTGAGGCAAATACTCATATGGCAAACTTCGAAATGCTTTGAAGAAGTTTGATAAGTCATCATTAAAAAAATTAAATTATTTTAGCACATCATTTTTCTGCAACTTCATTGTGGTAGGATAATCTTCAGTTTAATTCTACAATTCTACTTCTCTCCACAGACGTCACGTATGACGTACAGCGAACTTTCAAACTCATGGAATCTAACCATGGGATATTTCATTTCGAGTGTTTTTCTTACTGGCACAGACTTGGAGAAATATTTTTGTCTCAAAATTCAAACATGCGTCATCATGATGTACTCACTACCTTAACCATTAAAATATTTACTTCGAAACCCAGTCTCTGCACCAAACGCTAACTTGACACGTGCCAAACAAGTTGTCAAGTACTAAATTTGCTGATGAAAATCTGTTCACTAAGTTTAATAGCAGGTCACTCCTGCGAGGTGTATTTTCCTTTCGTTTTTTGGATGTTATTTCTTCGTGCATTGTTTCAGTGTCCGAACATTTTCCAATATCTGAAGTATTTTCCTTCGACAAATTTAGCCACCCACTTGATAACGCTATTGTGTTCGGTATTATTTCAAATATACATGTTGCATAGTGTGGGTAACAACAGCTATGACGATATAGCCAGTTGTGAACTGTGGCCATCGGTGCATTATGAGCCTATGGACAGTGTAACTACTTTCACTTGTATATCTGTAAACTAAGAAACCACTGAGTCCCTAGGTGATTGTGAGATGTATTAGCAGTTTGCAATCGCCCCGGAAGACTCACCCGATTGGATCTATTGAACTTCCCTCACCACCAACTCTAAACTTGAAATTCGACAAGTAGATATGGTGTTTTCGAAGTAAAACGGAAATCGGTAGACAGTAGGTTATGAAATAGACCATGGGTCAAGATGTTCCTCATAGTTCCACCAATATGAACTAATAACTGAAGCATAACATGGCTTCTTGAATGTTCAGTCATACTCCCTTCACGTACTTATCTAATTTGCTACTGTTACCGCTGGGCGTGATTGCGGCTTCTTAGTCACAGTCCTCTTTTACAACGTCAAAAGTGCCTTCAATAAGGTCCCGCACAGGATACTATCTCTTAAGCTAAGGCTGAACGGCTTCCAATACCCTCCATTATCCAGCCTGAATGCCTTCCTGGAAGACAGCTACCAAGTAGTAAAGTTCTGTAACACCTCCTCATAACTGAAAATCATTAGAAGCGGAGTGATATAAGTCGGTGTGTTCTGGCCACTACATTTCCGAACTGACATTAACATCTTCAATACTCGGATACTACATAATCATCTTAGGTTCAGAGTAGGATAGCGATGTGATTCGTATTGAAAATGTAAACTGCAGTTGTACACGACGCTTAAAACACACTTACGAAAACTTTGCACGGATATTTGTATAAGATGCGAACTTCAGCCACTATGGTCAAGACTGCCAAAGCGCAACCTGACTTTTCGACTTCGTGTTATATGCGGAAAAATTAAAGGTAACCGTCCCGTGGCTTTCAAAGACGTAGTTGCTTGCAACCTGCGCGATCGTTCACACACTTCCACAACCAGATATTAGATAAGACTGCGTTCGAGATTCTTCATAATGCAGCATAATGCATTCGGAACAAATGCCAGTTCCGACCACCCCAAAATGCCAGTGTCTCCTGAATTAGTTTATACTGCCTGCAAATATCCTATAGTTTACTTACCAATACTGTTCAAGACGCTGTACGGATGATACTGTGATGATATGGACCCGCAACCTTCGACTAAATCCAAAACGAAACTAATTTGACCTAATTAGATTTAAGCTAAAACCAAAATTGTTCGAAAAACTGAAAGATTTACTGTTCTATTTGGGAAAATGTAAAGATAACCATGGTAGAAACCTTTAGTTATGAGGTTATCCGGCATCCAAACACCAAGAACACAATGACTGAACACGAAATGGCTCACGGCTAAAAAAATATACATTCAAACGAAAACTGTACAACAGTCCAATGACTGACAAATGGTCTAATTAACAGAAATTGTTAAGTGGTACAAAGGCACAGTTTTATTGCTTGAAGATGCAAGATTAGCCGTAACACGTGATATACTCACATGGACTGCAACACCCTCACTTTGAGGGAACTTTTAACCTTTGGCTGTTCCGTGCTGGCATAAAATGCATACTAACCAACATTTGGCCACAACCTTATCGCATCCAACAAGCTGTCTCTGTCTTCTCACATAGACTATGACTAACTCCGACCCCCCCCCCATGACATTTTGATGCTTTTGCTTTCAAAGTTATGAGATTTTCCACGACAAATTTTGACTACATATCTGAAGTATCTGAATGCACTCATCCCCCCTGCTGTTCAGGTTATTCTCGCAGTCGCTCTACTTTTTGTTTTTTTCAGCTTGTATCTTTCGGGTAACAAGATAAATCGTTATATATAAAATAGAAGTCTTTTGGTAATCACATAATAAACAACTGTTGACACCTACCAACGTTCAACGACCAATATGTGTGTATGGCCAACAAAACAGGACTAAGTGCTAACATACACATTTTAAGATTTCTAGTGCTCCGTGAAGAATTTGGCTGTCCATTCTCAATAAACTTAACTTTATCCGGAAAACGTGCATTCAGATAACTGACACACAAAACAAACCCCATCGGACACTTGCAGCAACAGTTTATGTGTTCCAGTTATTCATATCCATATAACTGACAAGTGCCTCGTGCCATTTTGCGATGTTTAAATACCTTCTCATTTCATACGTATAGCTGTGTAACCCTTATCCACGAATTTCATGCTGTCAGAGGTCCATGGGTGATTAATCTGAGCAACCACCTGCTTCCATCTGGGCGTTCGGGCAGTAGCGCATCCCTTTCTCAAGCTAAGGAATGAAAATTTCATAGGACAATATAACAGTACGCTCATTGTTACAGACTGCATCTACGACCATACTTTTCATCAATGTGACCCATTGCTGACTTTATTTTTATATACCCACATTTTTTGTTTTAATTTTGCAATCCTTACCATTCAAAGTGTCTTCACTTTAGTCAGCCTTACCCCTATTTTTGAAATCCAAGCCAGCCTGTGCCATTCGGAGTTATTTGCTAGTAGTCCTCAGAATATTGATCTCCGGTGTGAAACCTAACATGGATATCCTGAAGCTGCTTGTAGCATTCAATCTTGCCACCAACGATTTTTGGACACTGGTGCAAATCGCATGACAGGTAGGTCTAGCCAGAACATTAGAAAGCCTCACTTTTGGTGACTCCAGCTTGTTGCAGACCCGCACTTCAGATCACAGTGAACTGCCTAGGACATCTACATCTGCGACTTCAAATGGTGTGTACCATCTTCGCCTAAGCGGAGACAAGAGCCGTCGGTATTTGACCTAGGTAGTATAGCAATAGGCCCTAAAGTCGAGGCTGTATCGCCCCACTGGATCCTCGCGGACACTCATTACTGTGAAAAAGGCGTTCAGCTTGAGGGGCAGTGCCTATTTGTCATCCCTGCCTATGAACTAGAGGATAGCAAACCGGATGCTATTAGGGAGGAGTCTCACCACCAAGTTGGAGGGCTTCTAGAATGGGTGTGTCAAAGAAATCAGCAGTGCTAGCTGAAGAGACTTTAATGCACAGGTCGGAGAATCTTCTGGGTGATTCATGAAATCTACCTGCGGGCTGGACAATGGAGATAGTCTTCCATAGCTTTCCGTAGATCACACAATCCGCTTTTAGCCAGCACTACCTACCAGCATAGCCAACTCCGTAGCACCACCTGGAGCCCTCCCTTTGCCGATCAAGCCTAAACTCAAACTAATCGCATTGCTCTCACTCTCCTATGGCGTGGATGCATAAAGAACCATCACTAATTCTTGAGTGCTTGACTAGAATCTGATCGTGAATAAATGTGTACCAGGTTCATCTAGCGACTTTGTAACGTTCATAAATAGAGTCCTTTACTGGTTGATTTA